GAAGAGGTTACCTGTACCGGGGGAAGAGGTCACCTGTACCGGGGGAAGAGGTCACCTGTACCGGGGAAGGGAAAGGTCACCTGTGCTGGAAGAGGAGTCACCTGTACAGGGGAAGAGGTTACCTGTACCGGGGAAGAGGTCACCTGTACCGGGGGGAAGGGAAGGGTTACCTGTACTGGGGAAGGAGTCACCTGTACCGGGAAGGTCACCTGTGCCGGGGAAGGTCACCTGTACCGGGGAAGGGAAGAGGTTACCTGTACCGGGAAGAGGTCACCTGTACTAGGGGATGGGGGTCACTTGCTGGGGAAGGTCACTGTATCTGGGGAAGAGGTCACCTGTACCGGGGAGAGGGTCACCTGTACTAGGGATGGGGAAAGGGTCACCTGTACTGAAGAGGTCACCTGTACGCCGGGAAGGTCACCTGTACCGGGGAAGGGTCACCTGTACCGGGGAAGGGTCCTGTGACTGGGGATGGGAGGGTCACCTGTACCGGGGAAGGGTCACCTGTACTGGGGAAGAGGTCACCTGTACCGGGAAGGAGTCACCTGTACTAGGGGATGGAAGGGGTCACCTGTACTGGGGGAAGAGGTCACCTGTACCGGGGAAAGGGTCACCTGTACCAGGGGAAGGTCACCTGTACAGGGAAGGGGAAGAGGTTACCTGTGCCGGGGAAGGGTCACCTGTGCTGGGGGAAGGGGGAAGAGAGGTCACCTGTACCGGGGAGGGAAAGGTCATGTACCGGGGAGGGAAAGTCACCTGTACCGGGGGAAGGGGAAAGGGTCACCTGTACTGGGGAAGGGGAGGTCACCTGTACTGGGGAAGGAGACGTCACCTGTACCGGGGGAAGGTCCTGTACTGGGGGAAGAGGTCACCTGTGCTGGGAGGGGGAAGGTCCTACTGTAGCTGGGGGAAGGGGAAGGGTTACCTGTACTGGGGGAAGGGGGAAGAGTTACCTGTACTGGGGGAAGGGAGGGAGAGGTCACCTGTACTGGGGAAGGAGGGAACGTCACCTGTACCGGGGAAGAGGTTACCTGTACTGGGGAAGGGGAAAGGTTACCTGTACTGGGGGGAGAGGTCACCTGTGCTGGGGAAGGAGGCGTCACCTGTACCGGGGAAGAGGTTACCTGTACTGGGGGAAGGGGGGAGGTTACCTGTGCTGGGGAGGAGGAAGAGTGTGTCGTCCCGTAATAGGTCCATAACTTTACCTGTATAGAGACAGGAGAGGTAAGTGCAGCTTTCTGGTACAGTCATTTGCATAAAAAGTCGCCATATTTGTTGAGGGATTCATATGAGGGAGAAAGATGAGAGTGAAAGGTGTGTGTGTGGGGTCACTACTACTACTACTACTACTACTACTACTACTACTACTACTACTACTACTACTAATATTAATAAACTTTGGATTTACAGTTCGCTTTCGCACAATCAAAATTTGAGTGTCTGACGCATTTTTTTTTACTTTCGCACACCTAATGTTATCTTCTCTACTTTCGCACCACGAACACAAGACCTCTTCAACTATTATCCACACCATTCCTTTAAGCCACAAAACCAACCACATACCATTCTGCTTAAATGTGAGAATTCGATAGTTAACTTTTTCTTTTTCCTGTGACTTTTTCCTGTGACTTTTTATCCTGTGACTTTTTTCCTGTGACTTTTTTCCTGTGACTTTTTTACCTGTGACTTTTACCTGGATTCAGACAGCCAATGCCATAATCATTTCCTTTCACCAATTCTCGCATTCTCTGTCCTTACCTGTCCCCGACCATCTTTACCTTCCATAGCTATTGACAGATCTCCACTTGCACCTGTCTCACACCTGTTTCATTAATTTCCTCCGTCAACTTTCACACAGTCGCTAACCAATTTCGAGAAACCATTAGGTGTGTGCGAAAAAAAAAAAATATGGTTCGTCGGTCAAAGGCTTAGCAAACATCGCGAAAATGATGAACACAAATTGAATATCGTTAAATTTCTTCCTACTAATTGAATATCGCCAAATTTGTTACTGCTAAGTGAATACCGCCAAATTAAACGTATCCAAACCAATGTCGCCAAATAGCCACCACCAAATCATATTATCAGCGAAATAACATCACCAAATTGAAATCGTTTTCCATTCGCGAACTCAGACCAAAGAGAACCCGCCTCTGTAGCTGCACCCCCCTACCTCCCTCTACCTCCCTCCCCCCCACCTCCCTCCCCCAAATAAAAAATCACACTAAAAAAAAAATCGATTTTTCCAGTTTGCTTCACTTCATTTCACGATTTTACGCCCACACATTTGGTGCAATGTTAATGTTGAGAAATGTACAGAATGTGTCTGGCCAAAAGGGGAGAGGGAGGAAGTTAAAGATGGGAGGAAGGAAGGAAGAGATGGAGGGAGGAATAAAGGGATGAGAGAGGAAGGAAGGAAAGAAGGAGGAGGAGGGAGGGGAGGGAAGAAGGACAGGAGGGGAGGGAGGGATGAAGAGAGAAGGAGGGAGGGACGAGGGAAAGAAGAAGGGAGGGAGGAAGAGGAGGGAGGAAGGGAGGGAGGAAGGGAGGGAGGAGGGAGGAAGGAGGAGGAGGGAGGGACGGTAAAATAGAGGAAGGGAGAGAAAGGGAAAAGAAAGGAAGGAGGAGGAAGGAAGGAAGGTACTTATAAACCCATCAACACAGCTGGCGGCGTCATGGACCATCACACTAAGGTGGTCCTCTTCTGCTTGGCGCCTTATTGATGTATTATGGCTCTACCAGCTGGCTCCTTCCTCCTCCTCCTCCTTCCCACGCCTCTTCTTACTCCTTCCCTCCTCCTAATCTTCCCTTCCCTTCTTACTACTCTTCCTTTCCTACTGCTTTTACATTCTCTCCTCCTACTCCTCTTCTTCCGTCTCCTGCTCCTCTTCTTCCGTCTCCTCCCTCTTCTTCCGTCTCCTGCTCCTCTTCTTCCGTCTCCTCTCCTCTTCTTCCGTCTCCTGCTCCTCTCTTCCGTCTCCTACCCTCTTCTTCCGTCTCCTGCTCCTCTTCTTCCGTCTCCTGCTCCTCTTCTTCCGTCTCCTCCTCTTCTTCTTCCTCCTGCTCCTCTTCTTCCGCTCTGCCCTCTTCTTCCGTCTCCGCTCCTCTTCTTCCGTCTCCTGCCCTCTTCTTCCGTCCTGCTCCTCTTCCGTCTCGCTCTTTCCTCTCTCCTCTTCCGTCTCCTGCTCCTTCGTCCTCTCCTGCCCTCTTCTTCCGTCTCCTGCTCCTCTTCCTCCAGCAAACAGTATTGCATGTGTGTGTGTGTGTGTGTGTGTGTGTGTGTGTGTGTGTGTGTGTGTGTGTGTGTGTGTGTGTGTGTGTGTGTGTGTGTGTGTGTGTGTGTATGTGTGTGTGTGTGTGTGTGTGTGTGTGTGTGTGTGTGTGTGTGTGTGTGTGTGTGTGTGTGTGTGTGTGTGTGTGTGTGTGCTCTGAGACGGGTCCTTCATCACCCTGAGGTATTCAATCCAACCAAATCCGTTCGCAAGGTAAATGGGACCCAGTCTTAATGGGACCCAGTCTTAATGGGTCCCAGTCTTAATGGGTCCCAGTCTTAATGGGTCCCAATCTTAATGGGACCCAATCTTAATGGAACCCACTCTTAATGGGTCCCAGTCTTAATGGAACCCAGTCTTAATGGGACCCAGTCTTAATGGGACCCAGTCTTGATGGATCCCAGTCTTAATGGGACCCAATCTTAATGGGACCCAATCTTAATGGAACCCAGTCTTAATGGGACCCAATCTTAATGGGACCCAATCTTAATGGGACCCAGTCTTGATGGATCCCAGTCTTAATGGGACCCAATTTAATGGGACCCAATCTTAATGGAACCCAGTCTTAATGGGTCCCAGTCTTTAATGGGTCCCAGTCTTAATGGATCCCAGTCTTAATGGGCCCAGTCTTAATGGGTCTCAGTCTTAATTGTCCCTAGACCTAACGGGACCATGTCAATGTCATAAAGGGCCCCTGGTGTGAACGAGCTATAATTTTAACATGTCCCAGTTCTACAGGCCCTAGTCCTATGCCTGATCTCTAACAGGCCCCACTCTTAATAAGCCCCAGTTCTCATAGGCCCAAGTCATAGCTGGCCTAAGTCCTTACAGGCCCCAGTCCTAATAGGCCTTATTCCTATTTGTCCCAAGTTTTAACAGGACCCAACCTAACTCAACCATTAAGACTGGGACTCATTAGTTGTCACCCTTAAGGCCGTAGGACCTAGTTAATGGTGATGAAGGATGCCTGTCATGTAGAGAATTATTGGAGACTAATAATTTTTTGATCGCAGTCATTATTATTATTATTATTATTATTATTATTATTATTATTATTATTATCATTATTATCATCGTTGTTGTTGTCGTTGTTGTTACCTTTTCTACACATTTACGTATAACAGATTAATAATGAAAGAACACCGTGCAAATAAAACTGTAAGATTTCAAGCAGCTGGTTATTTCCCTGTTGCGACGTATGTGTTGTGATTATACAGGTGAGAGAGAGGTGTGAGAAGTGAGACACAGGTGGAGGTAAACAGCAGGTGAGTGACGAAGAAAAAAAGAGAAATGGAGGGGTCGTATAGTGTCCATTACCTCCAGCCAATGTTTACCTTCGTGACGTCACAACCCAGAGGAGGGGGAGTGGGTGAGCTGAACAACACCGCCAGTCTTTCCTCTACTGTACCTCAACACCTAATAAATCTATCATATATACTACATTAAATTTTGGTGCTATTTTTAGGTTAAAGGGGTTTAATATCTAACTACTTGTTGTCGTAATTATGAACAAAGGAATATTACAACACAAACATTTATAAATTAACATAAAAAACATATATTATGACATGCAGAATAATCTCTACAGTAGTTCTTGAAGTTACATAAATACCTCATTCTCCAATTAGAATAAAAACAATGAAAAATAGATTACGGATTCTAAGGCAGGGCGTTACCAGAACCCAAACAACATAGTCTGTGTCACCACCATACGAGGACCGTTTTCTCTCACACCAACATGAGAGAAAATGAACATCTGAAACATCGGGGGAACTCATACAGTAATGTACTCACCCTAGCTTTCTGCGTCTGCTTCAGTCCGATGGCTGGTTGACTTCGGTTACTCTGGAAATAAATAAAAAATCGTATTAAGTCTTTCATATAAAAAAAACGTGTTATCAGTTAAAGACTAAACTACTAAAAGGAGAAATATCAAGTTATGTACAATATAGGCAGGAAAATAATGGTAGTAGGAAATATTATAATATAAACTGCGGCTTTAGACCTGAGACCTGACGCGGCTTTCAAATTATTTATGCTTAAGTTGGGTACGAGAGAGACTGTGTTTAGAGGAACGATTAAGACAAGACACTGTGGCTCACTCTGCTTTATTTATTATGATCAAATGGCCAACGTGAGTGTGAGAGTCGTGTATAGTGGACACAAGTTACCGTATACTTTTAGACATAAGTTACCGTATACTTTTAGACACAAGTTACCGTATACTTTAAGACATAAGTTACCATATACTTTTAGACACAAGTTACCGTATACTTTTAGACACAAGTTACCGTATACTTTTAGACACAAGTTACCGTATACTTTTAGACACAAGTTACCGTATACTTTTAAACACAAGTTACCGTATACTTTTAGACATAAGTTACCGTATACTTTTAGACACAAGTTACCATATACTTTTAGACACACGTTATCGTATACTTTTAGACACACGTTACCGTATACTTTTAGACACAAGTTACCATATACTTTTAGACGTAAGTTACCGTATACTTTTAGACATAAGTTACAGTATACTTTTGGAATCAAGTTACCGTATACTTTTAGACACAGGTTACCGTATAGTTTAAGACATAAGTTACCATATACTTTTAGACACAAGTTACCGTATACTTTTAGACACAAGTTACCGTATACTTTTAGACACAAGTTACCGTATACTTTTAAACACAAGTTACCGTATACTTTTAGACATAAGTTACCATATACTTTTAGACACACGTTACCGTATACTTTTAGACACACGTTACCGTATACTTTTAGACACAAGTTACCATATACTTTTAGACGTAAGTTACCGTATACTTTTAGACATAAGTTACAGTATACTTTTGGAATCAAGTTACCGTATACTTTTAGACACAGGTTACCGTATACTTCACTCTAGCAAAAACAAATTAAGAGTCGAACCCGGAATGACAGGCATTTCTTATTATCAAAGGGTCAGGTATCAGTGCGTTAATGTTGGAAAGAATCAATTATTACTTCACCTACAGTATAAGCCATATGTTGAGGTATCCCTGCTAGCATAGTTTGGGTAAATAAATAAAATAACGGGTCATGAGACACTGTGTTTACTGCAGGTAAGAGAGAAACAGATAGACTACATAGTTATGAAGTGAATATATTGGGAGTCCACCATGCAGCAGGTGAACAACACAGGCAGTGGTTGGCCTTCGGTTGTAATTAATAACATAAACAACAACAACAGCCTTACACTATAGACACGAACATGCTGTACAAACAAACAAAATATTATAAATTAAAAAATAATAGAATATCAGAATATGTTGTACTGTTATTTGAAAAGGAATTAAGACTCACCTTTAGAAAATTTCATCATACAGGTAAATATAACAATATTTTTACTTTATGGCTTAACAAATATAAATATAGATTTAAGCAAATTATAAAAATAAATAAAAATAAATAAACCAAGGAAAAATAAAACGTTTATTTATTATTATATTGTAAATGTATTTACCAATAAATGACAACAATTACATTATTAAAACACATGCACTAATACACAACTGAAGATGCATTACGTCAAATAAAACATTATATTCATAACAAAACATGTAGAAAGTAAGGTCAAGTGTACACTGATTAATTACACTTTATTACCTTACGTAAAAAACAGCAAAACACATACATGGCAAGATACACACGAATGACTGTGTGTGGTGTACCTGACATGACTGTGTAGGACATGGTGTGGTGGTGTATAACAGCAAGTGTTGTGTAGGACACACTGTGTAGGACATGCTGTGAAGGACGTACAGAGGAGGACCATGCTAGATAGGTAAGATCAGCCCACCTCTTGAGGCTTCCTGACGCTGAACCTCCTTGCCCTGGGGGGCGGAGGCGGCGGCGGGAGAGTGAAGGAATTATACATGGAGTTTGGTCGTGATCCTGACGAGGACTTGGGCGAGGTGGAGGCTGAGGAGAGGGGCGTGGTCTCCCGGAGATCAGTGTGGGACCTGGAGGACGCCCGCGCCAGACTCAGGGCGTGATAGCGAGTATGTAGGTTGAGGGCGGGGCCCAGGGCCAGCACCCCGCTGAAGAATCCGACGTCCCCTAGGTTAGCGAACACGCTCGGAGACAGCGGCGGTATGAAGGAGCTGAGCTCGAAGGGCGGCGGTCTCTGGCCCGGACGTGGTGACGACGGCAGCGACGGGATGTGCGGGATGTCTTGTAGGACGGCGTCTAGAGGCTGGAGGGACGGGTGGACCGGAGGCCGACTGGGCGCCCGCAGCTCCTCGGGCGGCTGCATAGTGCTGAGCAACATCTGGTGGGGGTAGACAGACCCCAGGCGACACCCTCCCCACTGCTGCTCCGGTGGGTGTTCGTTCATGTACCTACTGCACGGATCGTGTCCCCCGCTGGCGCCCTGCACCTGGGACCACGGGTGCCGCAGGGGCTCCCTGGGCGGCAGTGATGGGTCCGTCGACAGTGGCACATTGTAAGCGGAAGACTGCGGTAGGGCATGCGGGTGCCGCCGTTGGAGGCTGTGCGACTGTGTCTGTGACTCCTGGGGCTTCTCGCCCAGGCTCTCAGTCATGAGGTGGAACGGGTGTGAGTAGCGTCGGTGCTGGGAGGGCGACGACTGTAACTGTCTGATGGGGGTCTCAATCGGTGAGAACTGAGACTCATCTTTCTTTTCCTTCTTAATAAGGACTGGCTGAGGTAGCTGTTGCGCCGACTTGAAAGGCTGGCCGCCTGGGTTGAGGGCCCCCCGCAGCAGCACCTTGTACCCACACCCATCGCAGTGGCCGTGTGAGGACAGCTTCCAGCACCCACACAGCCCTGCCATTATCACATCCACTGATTCTGGCTGCGATAGCGAGGTGCTGGGGCTCCGAGGGGAGGCTCCTCAGACCTGGCCTGGCTCCTCCACCGTCACGTGCTCCACCACCACCCGCAACACCACCACCCCCAACCCACCCATCACCACCACGCCCACCGCCTCCTGTCGTTGCCCGCCACACATCACCTTAACCACACTCGCCAAGGATTAGTTGTGTACACCCATTGATTGTTGCTTTGTCATCCACCTTTCACAAACCTTCGTCCACACTTCAGATAATCTCGAGTCCCATCAACGGTGGCAGGGATAGTAGTGTCTATATCATGTGTTTCACTGTCAATAATAGGAGTTCCATCCCAAGTTATCTATAATTGGTCCCTGTATCGTGTTTCAAGTTTATAATGGATGCTGAAAGAAAAATATGTTTGTTATTCCTGTACACAACAACACAGTCGTCTGGTAATAATATCTCGCCTCGTAATATTCATTTTTATCCCAACAAAAACACTGATTTAATCTCCCTCATCAAAGTCATACATATTAATGGACCGAGGAATGAAAACGAGTTTAAAACCTAATATAAGATAAACAAATTACACACACACACACACACACACACACACACACTACTGTATAATCTCCATCAACTCATCTTTCTGTGCTCACGTTTAACTAGACACAAATAAACAAACTTCAACACGAGAGTAATTAACCAGCTGCTGTTATCTTCACGAGCAGTAAAACACGTGAACACGTTTAGCAGATCAAAGAGTTGCCAGTCCTTAGCTCTTAACAGTCCCAACCTAACCCAACTATTATGTCTGGTGCCCAATTAGGACTGGGACTTATCAGAACTGGGCCATATTCGAACTGGGAGTCAATAGAGCTGGGACTCATTAGAACTGGAACCCATTAGAACTAGGACCCATTAGAACTGGCACCCATTAGAACTGGGACCCATTAAAACTGAGACCCATTAGAACTAGGATCCATTAGAACCAAGACCCATTAGAACTAGGACCCATTAGAACTAGGACCTATTAGAACTGGGACCCATTAGAACTAGGACCCATTAGAAATAGGACCCATTAGAACCAGGACCCATTAGAACTGGGACCCATTAGAACTAGGACCCATTAGAACTAGGACCCATTAGAACTAGGACCCATTAAACCTGAGACCCATTAGAACTAGGACCCATTAGAACTGGGACATATAAACTATAACTCCATTAAAACTGAGACCTATTAGAACTGGGACCCATTAGAACTAGGACCCATTAAAACTGGAGACCCATTAGAACTGGACCCATTAGAACAGGGACCCACTAAAGCTGAGACCTATTAGAACTGGGGACCCTATTAGGAACCAGGACCCATTAAAACTGAGACCTATTAGAACTGGGACTCCATTAGAACTAGGACCTACTAAAAGCTGGAGAGACCTGGTTAGAACTGGGGACCCATTAGAATCCAGGGACCCATTAAAATCGAGACTCATTAGAACTGGGACCCCATGAACTAGGACCTATTAAAACTGAGACCTGCTTAGAACTAGGAACGCACAGGAATCTAGGACCCATTAAAACTGAGACCCATTAGAACTAGGACCCATTAGAACTGGGACATGAAAACTGAGACCCATTAGAACTAGGACCTAAGTCATCTCCTTTTCATCACTCCTTCCCTCATTTCACCCATCTCCTTCCTCCCCTTCCCCCTCCCTATTCCCTCTCTCCCTAACTTTCGTGCCTCCCCACACTACCCCCATCTCTCTCCTTCCCTCCCAATCCTTCTCCCTCCCCACCTCCCTCATCACCAACCTTCCCACCCATTCTCCTCCTCCTTCCCCCCCTCCCTCACTATACACACAACGGAACATAAGTGTACACACAAGCCTTCAAAGTCAACCCTAAAATCTTAAAAGTGAATTGATATAATGTGATAGCTCTGGTACATATGCTTGGGTGTTCCTCCTTACGTTCCGACTCATTACGTTCCGTTCATTGAGTCTTACGTTCTCTTCTTCATGTATTAATCTCAACTAACGTAAAGGAAAACGGAATGGCACGATAATGGAACGTAAACTACAATAATATACCAGTGACATCAAGAACACTCTGAGATTCATCCTGCTAATGTGTGTGTGGAAGTTCTCATTACGTTCTTATTCTCAGTGAGTTACGGTCAGGAATGTCTATTTTAGAATTCATTTCCAGGAATAGGTATTTATATTTTTCGTTCACTGATCCGTACTTAAGCTCTCGGGTCGTTCATCCCGACTAACACACTGACGGAAGTTAATTATAAGAGGAATTAATTAAAAGAAAATATATTAATGAATAAGAATTTGTCGAGTTTCCTGCTGTCTGTTATTATATTATTATTTCACTTCCTGGCTCTTAATCGAGAGAGAGAGAGAGAGAGAGAGAGAGAGAGAGAGAGAGAGAGAGAGAGAGAGAGAGAGATGATTGATAAAAGTAAAAAGTATTAAGCAAGAATCCCCGTCTCTCCCAGGATGTGTGTGTGTGTGTGTGTGTGTGTGTGTGTGTGTGTGTGTGCGTGCGTGTGCGTGCATGTCCTGGTGGTGTAATCTTACTCACTGTCTCATTTCCTCGTCCCAGCTGCTACTCCTTCGTCTCCCCCCCTTCCTCCCCCTTGTTAACCCCCTTCATTTTACTACCCACCCCTTCCCCTTAGCTTCCCTGGGAGTCACCTGACGTTCATTAACCTCCCAACATTGGCGTTAATTAGGAAACTCGGTTGCGTTTCCAGATTAAATCTATTTTCGTGGATCTTCAAACATCGGCAAATTGAACCGGCTGCGAGAATTCCCAGGCGTCCACTCCGAGACGCGCCCAGCCTCGGGGTGAATTTACCAGACGGAGGGCGGAGGAGAGGAGGTGGTTCCTGGTAAGGCAGGAGGAGGAGGGGAAAGAGGGAAGGAGATTCCAGGCGGTGAGGAAGGAAAGGTGGGGAGCTCCATGCAAGTGTAAGAGGAGCTTCCAGACAGTTAAAGAGGATGGGAACGGCATTGCAGAAGGTGTAGGAGGAGAGGAGGAACGTTCTTGGCAGTGAAGAACGACGGATGGAACGTTCCAGGGTATGAAAAGGTAATGAAGGGGGTGGAGAAGATTTCCCATCAGCGTAGGAGGAAGCGATGAGGTTCCAGTTTGTGTAGGAGGAAAAGAGGAGCTTCCAGTCAGTGTAGGAGGAAAAGAGGAGCTTCCAGTCAGTGTAGGAGGAAAAGAGGAGTTTCCAGTTAGTGTAGGAGGAAGGTTGGGACACTTCTCACTGCTTAAGAGGAGGGAGGGGCGGGGGCGGTCATAAAGGAGCAGGATACAAACACATTCCACAGAGTTAAGAGAACTTACACATGTTTTAAGATATTTACGACAGAGTAAGAGGAGGTGATGAAGACAAGACTGGAGAGAAGGAAGAGCGTCACAGGATGAATGAGAGAGATGTAGGGTGTTCCGCGTCGGGTATGAGAGACGTGTTTACAGTGACGAGTACAGGGAAGAGTTCTCAGGAGAAAGAGAGATGGGAGAGAAGGTACAGGTTGTATGGTCTGGAACGCGAGGAGAAGAACTAAAGAACTAATAGAGAAGAGAACTGGTCTAGCAGGGGACAGACGGAGGATGTCAAGGCAGAGGAAAAAAGGAGAGTAAACATTCCATAAAGGTTACAAAAGGAGGAATGCTGGAGGCACTACAGCAGGCGAGGTGAGGTGTTCCAGGCACGGCAGCAGAGATGGGAAGGCTTTCCAGGCGTGGTAATGCCAGAGTAAAAGCGTTCAAAGCAAGAACGTGAGGAGTTTCATTAAAAGCAAGAGGGAGGAGAAGCTTTCCAAGAAGCGCAGGTAGATGGAGAGATACTCCAGGCAACGGCGGTAGAGGACACTGTTGAAGGTGATGGAAATGTATTCAAAACAGAGTGATGGAAGCTATTCTTTATATAGCAGCAGATGGCAATGTTTCCAGGAGAAAATATAATATGTCAGAGTCAAAAACGAACTCATAACATATTTACCAGCAATACCTCTGCCCCAAGAAGGAACAATAAGATCTTGAGGTAATATCTTACAATCACGACCACAACACATCATCCTTATCTTGAGCAGTCGTCATCTTTAAGACCAACTCAACAGCCAATAAGTCAACCTCAAAACTTCTACTCTTTAACTCTTTTTCCTCCCTCAACTCTCCTTCTAGTTAGTAGGTTTTTCCCTTTACCCCCCACCCCCAATTTCTTTACCTTCCTCCTTCCCTCCCTTTCTCACAGTCCTTACCTCCCTCCCTCTTTCCCTCCCTCAACCTCACAGTCTTTATCTCCCTCCCTCCCTCCCCCCCTTTCTCACAGTCCTTACCTCCCTCCCTCTCTCAATCTCACAGTCCTTACCTCCCTCCCTCCTTCCCTCTCTCAGTTCTTACCTCCCTCCATCCCTCCCTCTCTCACAGTCCTTACTTACCTCCCTCCATCCCTCCTTCCCTCCCTCAATCCCACAATCCTTATTTTCTTCCCTCCAACATCCTTAAGACACTTCCCCCCTTGTCTTTAACATTCAATCCTTATTTCCCTCCATTCCCCCTTTTTAGTTATCACCATCTTCCTTCCTCCCAGTTCCTCCCTCCCTCTCTCCCTCACGTCAGGCCTACCACCTAACTGGCAGGTCTTCCTCCCCTACACTAACTTTCTCAAGTGTCACGACTCCAACTTAGAACGATTCCCCTGTTTTCACTTAACACCATCCCTTCCTCCTCCTCCTCCTCCTCTACACCCCTCCATAGCCTCCCTAAAACACTCCTATTCTCACCAGCACCATCATCACCACCACCATCACCACCACTATCACCACCACCACCACTGCACATATCAAGTCATCACCATGTGTTATTAATGGGTACTGTCACTAAGTTTATACAAGGTGTCGCGTTCATCAGTAATACCAACATGTGCACCGATTAAGACGGAAGCCACTACCAACACCCCTGAACCTGAGACAGTTCTATCCTTCCCGTCCATCATTTTTTTTTAGACAGTAGCAATTATTTTGGGATATTGGTGATATTTTGTGCGAAAATGTAGGAAAAGTGAGTGAGTCATCTTCCCATCCACAGGTATTAGCGGGTGTTTGTTACTGTACTCTAATAATGAAGGTGTTTAAAGGTGTATCCGAAGTTAGTAAATAAAGTAATGATGAACAATATCACCCCCAACAGCTATCACCGAGTGAGGGAGACACATCACCCCCCAACAGCTATCACCGCGTGAGGGAGACACATCACAACCCAACAACTATCACCGAGTGAGGGAGACATCACCCCAACAACTATCACCGAGGAGAGGAGACATCACCCCAACAACTATCACCGAGTGAGGGAGACACATCACCCAACAACTA